CGGGGGGCTGGGCTCTCCCAGCACTGAGGTGCGCTCGGGGCACACGGAGCGTGTTCCCTGCGACCTTGCACCACTCTTCTGAATATTCCTGGCTGTTTGTGTGTCTGGCTGTCTGTTTCATTGTTGTTTGTTGCAAAGGGAAGCATCAGAGTGAGTGCCCCTCCCCTCCTCCCTGCGCATGAGGGACCCAATACATAATGCCTACATATAAAGGGGACACTGTCAAATGTCTTGCCTTGCTGGCTCCAGGGCAGAGAGGCTTTGGCAGTTGCTGTCAATCCGTCACGGCACTGGTCAGCATTTGGAGAGGAAGCTCCAGCTCTGCAGACAGCAGGTCTCATTGGCAATCACCTCCTCCATCTCGAGGAGCAGGAGTGCAGGTTGCTGTCACGCTGGCCAGCCTGGTTCCGACAGCAAAGCACAGAGTGCAAATTGAGCTGAAATGCTTTTGCCAAACACTAAATTGCTTCCTCCTGTTATTGATACTCCATTAAGAGCCAGGGAGATGGTGGGGAGGCGGCGGGGTATCCGCCCACATGGTGCTCAGATGGAGGAGCACAGACGGCACACTTCCTTTGACAGTGTCCCCATGCCCCTTCCTGTGGTTCTCCGCTTTCCATGTGCTTGAGTCCCTGCCACTGAGTCATCCCTGTGCTCTAAATCTGTAGCGGTGCTGAAAGAGCTACGTGACTTCCCACTATTGGGGAGTGCCCAACTTAAAAGCAGAACCCAACTAGAACTGACGTGCGAGCCCTCCTTTCTGCTATAAAGCACGTGCTGCTTAGCGGGACGTGAGGCGGGAGAGCCGAGGAGCTGCTCAGAGCTGCTCCTGCTCCTCGGCAGCAACGTCCCTTGGCAGCAGGGCCGTTCTGTGCTGCCTGCCGGCCTCCTCCACATAGCTACCGAGAGGAATTGCAGCCAGGGCATCTCTCTGTGCAGACCAAGTTACAGGGGGAGGTAACTCCTGCAAGCCAGATACTGAAGCTTCTGCTCTCTAAGCAGCTCAGGCCCTGGAGATGCATCAAAAAGGCCGAGTAATTTATAAATGTTTTCTCATCTTACCCAGCCAGGTAGATTAGCTGCTGTGTGAGGCCCTCAGTCTCCACCTTGTTCAACGCCAGGATTTCTCCGCACTGTAAAGGGCAGGAGGGAACCAGGTGTCCGTCGCCCGTTCCCAAACGGCACAGCTCTAGCTCCTCCGTTGTCTCTAGCTCCCATGGGCGCTGACAGAGCAGGGGACAGAGGGTGAGTAAGTGTGTGCCCCTATCACAGACTCTCATATGCACACCTAGGGGACAAAGCAGGAGCGAGGAAAACCCTCACGAGCTCCCGGGCACGCAGCCTGAGCAGGGAGAGCTGCTCCTCATAGGGGTAGCATGGTTATTCCTCCCAGTGTGCCCAAGTGTCATGGTCAAATGCTATCCACAGAATGTCCTGGGGAAGACTCACATTTGAAGGCATGGAAGTAAAGGCAGGTGGTTGAAAGGAAGATTAGGAGTGGAAAAGTCCAGGTACAGTTAGCAAAAAGCATGCCTGGGAAACTAGGGAGTTGTAACCCGTATTTATGACTATTTATTTAATTTAATGCTGCTGACTACTGTAACACTCCCTGGCTTTTTCCAGTGAGCCTGCTGCAAAGGCTACTGTACATGAGACCAGGCTCCTAGCCCCTGAGAAGGACATTGTGCTGCTGTGTCGGGATGGGTGGTACCATCTCCCTGCTGTTACTTGCTCACTGACTCAAAAAGAGGCCCGTTTCCCCGTTATTCCCGTCCACAATTGCTCAGGTTAGAAAAATCCTTTCCTGTCCACCTCCCTCTCTTCTAGATTTTAATTCAAAGCAGCAGAAAAGGAGATAGACAGGAGGGCCTGTGCTTGTCACCTTGCTGGAACCAGAAAAGGAAAAGGATAGTTCTGGGAGAGAAACCTGCAGTGTGGGTCTGTGCAACCCAGCAGGCAGGGTCCTAGACACAGACAGACAGGGCTCACCAGGAAACAAACCCACCAGACCCAAATAAATGCTAATCGGTCTAGACATAGACAGGGCTCACCAGGAAACAAATCCACCAGACCCAAATAAATGCTAATCGGGGACGGTTTTCTCACTGTTTTGGCATTTTCTTGCTAGCTGGGGAGGGAAGAAATCCATTTAGTCATCTGTGAAATCTTCTTCCTCTGCAACACTTTTCCAGGTCCTCTTCATTCTGGACTCTCCCGCTGACACAGCTTCCTGGGATTTAGAGACAGAAATTCCCAAGTTCTGCTGAGTTGGCAGGAGACCATGCACAGGCACTTAAAAATTCTCGGTAGGAACATTTGTTCTGCCTGCACATGACTCTAGACTGGGTTTAACACGTTTGACAGGTAGCCTAATATACAGGTCACCACAGCACCTTGTAACATGCAGAGTTTACCCCTCTCAGACTCCTAGATGATGGGCTTTTTGCCACTTAGCAGCAATCTTGGAGTTGGATGGGAGTCAAAACCCTTTACTGCCTCTTAATTTATCCTAGCAGTAGTAAAAGGAAAAAAAAAGTTTTTTTTTTTTCTTTTTCAGAAGCAAAACCCCACAATGGCACTAGAGTTGAGGACATAACCAAAGCCACAGCAAGGCTTTTGTCCAGATGCCTTCTTCCAGAGAGCTGAGATATAAAATACCTCCTGCTGCAGTTCAGTTCCACTGGACAGAATAATTCCTTTTGCATCCATAGAAAATCTTGGCCCTTTTACATTCAATTTCCTGAATAAGTCAATGATGCTTTCCAGGAACAAGCCCAAACAACCTGAGTAAGGTTGCAGGAGAGAGTATTTCTGCCTTCCCATAGCAGTCACAGCCAGGCGGTAGCTTGGCTCGCACTGACAGGGTGTCACTTCCCTACTCGCCCGCTTACCTGTGCCAGCAAATCCACAGGGCCGTCACCTCACAGCACCTTGCAAACACGGTTCCGCTGCCAGGTCCTCCATCTGATCCTTCTGCCACTGGTACTCTGCCAGGTGAGCAGAGTGAGGCTTTCATTTGCATAAATTTAACAACTACAAAATAGACGTTTTCGAAAGCCTTTCTCCAGCCAAATTTAATACATACACATCAATGCCAACAGCTGGTAGCCTAATTTTTGCCAAATACCACACCAACTATTGGGAAAAGAGAAGGCAAAAGTTGTTGCCTGTTTTGACTTTGTGCATCTTAGCTGCTTATTATATACTCATTAGGAGGATTATATACTCATTAATCCCACCTTCACATAATCTTATTTCCAATCTACCCAATACCTTCTACTGCTTACTTTAGAGGAGGCGTTTTGGTTAATGCCATCTGGGACAAGCTCAAAATGAATGTGAGACCCAGAAAACAGCTATGCAATAACACATTTCATAAAATAGATACCAAATGTATCTAGTGCAGAATCTGCATGTAAGCTCTAGGAAAGATTAAAGGCTTAGGTTACCTCAGGTGGCAAAATCAGATAGTGGTTGGTATTTTCAAATAGACCATTTTTGGTGCAGGTGCTTGATGAGACCTTTTGGCTAGGCCCAGCAGATAATTTCTGTACAGACAGAAGACAGGAAAGGCTGCAATATGTCAAGGCAGAGCAAAGGCCTCGCTTGCAGACTTCATAGTCTGTCTTGCTGCACATCAGAAACGTTAACCAGAAAGGAGTCTGCACCTGCAGGTTCTGGTGCACGTAGAGCTTCTGTGCTGTGTAGCCTGTAGCACTCCCCTTCCTAGCTGCTCTTTCTTCTCAGAATTGCATTTCCATCGCTTTCCAGTGATCCAGAAGCACCTGAACAGAAAGGAGACAGAGAGGGCAGTTTCCAGCTTTCGTGCCATGCAGCACTAGGAGATAACCCCAGAGACCAGCACTGCTCTCAACAAATAAGCTTCAAAAATAGAGGTTAGTGGCAGACATTTCAGGGGAGCGAACTCACTGCTGCCTGGTTAATGGATCTTTTTATGCAGTGAGAAATGGGAAGACTTCTGTGACTCCTCATCCTTAGGGTTTATTCATATGGGCACAGTTAGCACAAAGGGAACACACGTGACTTAGTATTATTTGAAAAACCCACCTGTGAACACGACTGCCGAATGTAGACAGTCCCTGGCCTCCTGCAGTGGTCTAGGAAGGGGCCCGGTTTCCCCAGATGGGCGCAGAACGGGCCAAGTGCTGCTGTGCCACCGCTCTGGAGATGCTCGCCTGCCCGCAGCACTTCTCTGTAACATGTCCTCGGTTTTTCCGTGATTCCTCCTGGTCTGAGGAATGTACCGAACTAGCCATTTGTCGTATGACCGAGGGGTCTTTCAGTGTTTTTCCCCCCAGCCAGGACAGAAGCAGACTGGTAACTAATTACAAGGTGGCAATCTCCATTCCCCTGCATGCTATGGGTGAAAAGCATTGTCCCTAACACACGCTTTAAAGCAACACATGTGCAGCCTGTAGCCCTGCTGGCTAGGGCAGGGAGGGACCAGCTCAAGGGCAGTGATTCTGTCATGTTCACTGAGGCTGCTGCTGCCACCCTACAGTGCTTGGCCAAGTTGTGCTTTGCAAGTTACCTGCTGAAATGGGAAGAACTCGTTCCAAATGGATCTCTGCCAAGCTTGCTACCCTTGGGAAATGCTGTGGTACGGTAGTGGACTCTGGCTCAGACTTTTCCAAAGGTCTCAGCCCTGGTCAGAATATCAGCAGGGGCTTAAGTAACACCCCAGATAGAGACTCTTAAACCAAAGCACCCGAGGTAAGTGGCTCTCAAACCTTTGTGACAATGCAGTTTCCAAGATGCGACCGTGCTGCCCGTTGGCCCATTCCCCCCCTGCATCTCTCTCTGCTTTGCAGTCTCTACAGCCCAAGTCTCTCTGTGCCATATATATATATATGTATTTTTTTCCTGTATGTGCACACTGGCCAAACACCACTGATGTCACGACTCGGCTGACGGTGGCTAGAGAGGCTTCCCTCCCCGCTGGCGCGGCTGCCCCGTCCTCGCGCCCGGCCGCGCCGGCTGCGGCTCCTCCCTGCCGACAATCCCGTGCCGTGTCCTAGCTGGGCTGACGCGGCGCGGTCCCTGCTTGCCTTCCCTTGCTGCCCTCTCTACGCTCCTTAGGTGAATGTGTTTTGTTTTTTCGGTAAGAAAAGGACTTCCTTCTGCTGAAGGAATTATATTTGCACATGGCTCAGGGAGGCACATCCTCTGGCCGTTTCTGTTACCTCACTCGTTTAGGCCAATTCCATTGCTAACGTAAATGGCCACCTTCCCCAGCCCCAACACTGTTTGGACGGAGATGACAGCAAACGCGCAGCTCGGTGCTAGAGCCGCTCGGTCCTGTCTCTAGCTGGGATCTGGGAGAAGGGCAGTGTTAACCCAGCACTCGTGGGTCTGCCCTCGCAAGCCTCCTCCCGTGCAGCAGGAGAGAAGGAAGCACTGACCTGGCTCCCGGCGGAGGGCAGGAGCAGCAGCCGAGCACCGTCACAACCATCCCTGCCTGGCAGTGCAGGCTTGTCCTTCCTCAGCACTAGGGCTGGATAAAGCTGCTACAAACCTGGGCTGTGCTCCCCGCCAAGGCCCTGCGTCCCCCACTGCTGTGCGTGGCCTCCAAATAACAAGGATCATCTCGTGCCCGGAAGGATTGGGAAGGGGTCGCACAATCGCCCCTACGTGTGCACTTCCCTTCGGATTCCACCCCCGGAGCCCGGGAAGGGGAGCGCTCCGGCCAGGCCCGCTGCAGCCCGTCGCGCCAATGTGAACTTCTGGGGGTGGGGAGGAAGCGTGGGTCTGTTCTAGGAGTTGTCTAACTGTTATAAACTTTGCGCTGTGCGCAAAGGGCGATCAAAAGATAATGAAACTTACCTGCTAGAACCTAGAAATCATAAAGGCTACAGAGCCAAAACTTAATGTAAAGTAGCTAGTACAATGGAAGTATGGTATAAATTAAAAAAACTATCAAACAGAGTGACTCGTGCTTTGAGTGCTTTGGAGTTTTTATTGTCCTGCCTATTCTGGAGTCTCTTGTTTTCAGACAGAGGTGGTCTTTCCAGGTACCAAGCAGGACCATCTCTTCCAGGACAAAGCCTGTCTTTAACACTATCCTTGAACAGGTTCATTTTTTTCCTGTGAACAAAATTTACACACCGTTTTCCCCTACCTAGAACACAGTGGGTCAGTCACATCTGTCTGAAGAATCTGGATAAATTAAGATGCATCCAAAAAAAGACATCCTGAGAAGATGTGTGTTAGGTACTGAAGTGCAGGACTAAGGGATGGCTCTTCCTACCTCCTGAGATACACGTCAAAACGTTTTGAGTTAACACACCTAGTGCTGTGGCATCAGAGTGTTACCAATCCCTCAGCAGGATGGAGAGGAAGCAGAGGCTGAAGTAGCAGAGAGGTTACGTGACCTTACCTAAAAATCACCCTGGGCATCAGGTCAGTGACGGAATTCCTGGAGTCACCATCTGCTCCCTCCTCTGCTGCTATGGACCTGGAGTAAGGAGTTTGCCCCAAACTGCCTGAGGCTCAGGAGAAGTGAAGACAACTCAGCAGATTCAGAAGAGGAACTAAATTTTCCCCTTTTGGATATTACGTTTTAAGGAACCAGTAGCCAGATTACAAGTGTGTTTTACCTGAAAAACGTGCTCTGACTGCCAGACTTGGCTCTGGATTTGGGAATCATCCTATTACAAAGATTGCGGTAGTTCACTAAAGTTAACACTCGCTCCAAAAAGAAATTCTGAAATCGGGCCGTGGCCTGACTTAAAATTGGATTAATTTCTGCAATTTTAGGAACACATAAACTGCAGCAGAACAAAGAAGGAAATTCCATAGGTGGGAAGCATGCCTTGATTCACAAGCATTTTATAACCATGTGAAAGCAATCAGTGTTGCAAAGTCTTTAAAGTTTTGCAAGCAGGAGAGGCTCCATTGCAGCAGGTATGTAACAACATGTACTATATGAAAAAAACCCCACACACTATCTCCCATTTTGTATGAAAGTATAGGTCCATTCCATGCTAACGCTTCTGTCTTTCTCCACATAATCCTAGTTGCTGAGCTCCACCCACCTATATTTGTTGTCTACAGAGGCCAAAGACCAAGTTTTACTTTGCTTTACCTGCTGCATTTGGGAAACAATGAATTTTCAGCATAATTCCTGTGCAGTAGTGGGTCACTTCAGATGAACAGCTACTATTCAAACTACAGACTGATTACCACAAGGAATAATTGCTACTAAATAGTAAGAATTTCCTGCTTGTGCCTTTGGGTGGTGCTACACCACGGCACAAAACCACCACCAGAGTTGCCATAGGGTTACCTGCAAAGTTCTCTGTCCTTTTCCCCCCCGAGGGCTACGGGATGTGTTTGCCCGTGTGCTGCTTTCAGGGCTCTCCCCACAGACAGGTTCAGCGCACACCTCGTCCCTCCACGCTGGCCTGCTGCTGCAGAGCACCACTCCACACGTCTGTCCTGTCACAGGGGCTCTGTGTGCTTGAGGAGAAAGCTGCTATACAAGGTAAATGGGAACAAGTGAGAATTTTGACTTAGCTTGCTAAGTGAAAGGGAGAATATAAGGGATTCTTTTATAGGCTCCCAGGTTAGAATTCAGATTGATTTAGCAAATCTGAACTTTGCACAGGGACTCATCCTTCTTGTTACACATTTGGGAGATTTCTAATGCATTATAGCCCTCATACTGCTCTCTAGACCAGCACTGGCAGCTTGAAGTCCTCAGCACCTTACCAAGCAACACCCAGCTAATTAAATTTTTCCTTTTTAACACCTATAGTGACTGCCTGGGCTGTTAACAAAGTGGAGCATCACTGCAAAATGACCCGACTTCCAGTCCTGCAGGTCAGAGTAACGTGACACAGCCTTTACCTCTGCAGTGGAGAGATGAGAGCATATTTTGCAAAAACAAGTGGTGATAGTCACAGCAGATAAGAAATGACACTAATATTTACAAAGCCATTGATGTGACGATGGGACTGCAACTTGGGAAGGAGCTGTGCTGCCCGCACCCCTGCACCCTTTGCTCGGCACGCTTCAAAGAAGAGTCCTTTAACAAGTGGGCTGACAGCTCGGAATGGAGTCAGGAAGCCAAAGTCAAGGTTGTACTGAGTCCAAGACAAATGGAAGAGAGTTCACACTTCCCCGGACTTCCTCCCGACAGCACAGAGTTCTCCCAAACCTGGCTGGCATGATGTAGTCCTTCTGTCTTCAAAGTCCCTGCAAGTGAGAGAGTTCCACTCTGAGTGTGAGGCATTTGATGCTACTGAAGCAACGATCCATGACGTTAGCATGGGAAGATTTTAAAACATCTAGATTTTGCACACAAAGCACTTCCTAGCAGACACTCCAGAATCCCCCTCTACCACCTCTCCAGCCCCACGCACCAAACCCACTGCAGACAGGCTGAAGGGCTGATGGGCACAAGCAGCAGCTGACCAGTTGCTCACCACCTACCTTGCTGCCATTTGTTGCACTGTCTCCTCTTTGCTATTCCTCCACAGGCACAGCGCAGTTTTCCTTGTTTTCTGATGGAATTGCAAGGTAGTCTGTCCTGCAGTTGGAAGAAAAGTAGAAAGTATAACCTCTAGTGCCACTGTGCAAAAGCCAGTCCAGATTCATGTAGCCTCTGAAAGACATGGAATGCCTATGAGCAAGTATCCCCGGGCAACCAAATTTCACCTGCAGAAAGTGAAAACCTAGGAGAGGAAACCCTCCTTGGCGTAGGAAATGTCAGGAGCCAACCCTGAGGCTTTCCTGGGTGTAAAATCCTATGCAGACTCCTTTTTTTCCATGCAGAGAGCATTGTTATCTAAGTCATGGATGTAGAAAGATGGAAAATTGGGCACTATAGAAACTGGAATCTCTCTCCCATGTCAGCTGCCAGAACTACCCTTCTCTTCCTCGCCATCTTAGAAACAACATATGTCACAGTCAGAGCTCTGCAAGTTCAGCCTCCAGGAAACAACCTTTGCACAGTCCACGCACAGGTCACACCTGGGGAGATTTCACACTTACGCATTTTCCTGCGCAGCCTCCTCTGCCTTGGAGACTTTCCGGTAGCAATAGACCATTTCTATCAGTAGCCACAAGGTGAGGAAAACCAGAAGAATATACATCATAATTTCAGAGATGACCGAAGTGAAGTCTTCTCCAGCTGTTAAGAAAATGAAGTCATCTCTGATTATTCAGGAGCACAGCAGCTGGATTCAGAATTCCCAACCCACCTTTCCACAGAGAACCAAGCTGGCACTACTTTGTGAGGGATGGAAAGAGAGGGAAAAGAGCCTGCTGCCAACAGAATATGCCAGCAGCAATTCCATTGAGGGCTTCCACAGGAATTAAACGCACACAGGCTTGCGTGTGCCCTGCACTCTCTGCAACACCCACGTTCATACAGATCACTCACTGCTGGCTGGTCTTATCTTCACGCACTGTTTCCTTTGCAGTTCTTACTCCCTGGTGTTCCTTGGTTGTATTGCACCACATGAGGACAGTAATTTGAGAGGGAAAGGAAGGATGGGAAGACAGAGCAGACAGTTTTAGACACAAAACACTTTCTGCCAATCCTTCATACCCTCTTCCACCACGGTGAGATGGATGAGTCGGGAGCTCGTGAAGAGAGGTCGGTGAATCTCAAACTCGAACTCCCGGGTGATATTACAGGTGTAGATACCCGAATCATTCAAGGTCACGTTTAACACAGTGATGGACACATCCTGCATGTCTTTACTCCCATTCCACTGTAGCCGACCACTGAAGCGACTTGGAAATTCATGATTGGTTTTCCTGTACTCGTAGATCTGTGAAAAAATGTGAAGGGATATTTTGATTATTTACCGATTCGTATCTTGAACAGGAAGACAAGACACACGACGACATCCTTCTCCTTTAGCTACACGCACTTGGCAAGTATGTTTTGGGCTATGGCCTATTTGGAAACAGCATGTATCAGAGTCTGCCATCCCTTACTTCAAAATCTTAGAATTCTTTACAAAAGAGAGAAAACTGAAGAGGACAGCAGCCTGCTGGGTATTACTATACTCTTTGAATCAAAATGTGGCAAAAGCTTCTTTTCATGTTTACTCTCTGTTCTTCTCTCACATAGTCTTCACCAAGGATCCTGTAGTAAGACCAAGCTATAGGCCGATAATACCCTGTGGCTTCCCCTGCACAAGTTTGCGGGACACGTTACACAGTGACACCTCTGAAAGCAGCAGTGAGCTCCCACACATACGTACGGGCTCGTCTTTTCCACCCTCGGGCCTGTAGAACCACTCCACCACGGTGCTGGCTGTGACCTCTTCCCTCTTCATGCAGGAGATGCAGAGCAGCTTCATGGGTGTCCCCTGGACAGCCTCTGTCTCTGAAGGAACTTCAACACACACAGCAGAGCAAAAACCAGCTGGAGGAAAGAACAAGAAGTGGTGCAAGAGAGAACAGAATCAGTTATCCACACTCATACCCAATGGAAAACCATTTGATTTATTATCCTCTCACAACGGGTAAGTCACAAATGTCAGTTTTTATCAAGCTTCCTTCGCTGACATACATACAATTCATAGTAATTAACAGACCATCATGGCTTTATGCAGATTCACCTCTGCAGCACCTGCTTTGCCACAGCTCTGATTTTTTTCCACAGTAATTGAGGCTGCTTCGGAGGCTTCATTCACTCTCTGGCACACATATGCAGCGTGCTCCCATCACAGCAATGCCTGAGGCTCGTGTAAGAGGTGGATGTTTTAGCCTGGCAGTGTGTTCAAAACAAACTGTTAGGGTTCACTGCCCTTCCTGTTTCTTGGTTTCATAAAGAGTATTTAGGAACCAAGGGACTTGGCCTCTAGCAAACTTGGCAATTGGGAGAGTTATTGATTTTACTTGCATTCTTGTTCAAAATGCTTCTGATAGATCAGTGCTAACACTGCTGCCATGGAAGAGTGCCCTCCCAAGCACGACAAAAATCCCAGTCTGTGCAGTTAAACACTTCTTATGAAACGAAAGGCTTCACCACAACATCTCAGATGAAATCCCCACTGACACTTGTCCCTTGGGCTAAACAATACTGGGTTACGTCTGTGCAAACCTGCCTCCGCAGCTTAGAGCTGAGCTCTCTATGAAGATGCTGACTTTGCGAGCTGCTCCCTCCTCCCCAGCCTCCGAGATGCCATTAACCCTCACTCGTGAGCACGGCGTTAGCCTGGAACCCATGCTGGAAAGAGCCGGGTTCCAGTTCTCCCATACTGCCAGTCCATGGGTGGCACTAGCTTCCTGGGAGAAAAATAAAGCAGAAAGCACTGGAAGAGGCTTAACTCCAGCTAAATTAAGTATGCACATGCCTACACCCCCAGAGCTCTGAGCATGCATGCATATAAGCTGTAGCTGTTTCTGCAGAACTAACAAACCTGTTCTTTGTTTCCTAAGAACACTGAAATTGCTTTGAAATCATCTCCTCCATAGAAGATCATATAGGCAGCATGGAAAGCAAGCATTCATATGCACAGCACAGAGGTTTGCACAGCCTGTCTGAAGCACACAGATGTTAAATTACATTGCACATTTCAAAACAACAACGAACTGGAATCACCACAGAACTTGCACGCATATTAAAGCACACACTTTCTGCTACACGACCAAATAGCAGTAATGCATCTTCTCTGTTCGTATTAACTCCATTACTTTGCTATTAACTCTGCACGAATGCCATTTCCTTCTCCTCTTGTAAACAGAATTAAAAGCCATTTCTGAGGCTGGCCTTCCCTTGCTAGGAAGCGCCGCGCTCTGAAGCAGCACCGCACAACGGGCGGGTGGCAGAGCAGGCGGTGGGACGCGGCAGCGCGAGGACCTACCCCAGAGCAGCAGGGCGAGCGCGGCCGCGCGCAGCAGCTCCGGCAGCGCGGCCATCGCGCGGGG